GGGCTTCCTGAGAAATGGGTCTGGCTCTTGGACCATCCACACAGACCCACAAGTTTAGGCCCCCAGCCCCTCCTCCCTCAGACCCAGGAGTCCAGGTCCCTAGGCCTTCTTCCCTCAGACCCAATTCTGGCTCCCAGCCCCATCCTTCATACCTGGGAGTCCAGCGCTCAGCTCCTCCTACTTCAGACCCAGAAGTCTGGGACCTCCAGCCCCTCTTCCCTCAGAACCAGGAGTCCAGGCCCCCAACCCCTCCTCCCTCAGACCCAGAAGTCTGGGACCCCCAGCCCCTCCTCCCTCAGACCCATGAGTCCAGGCCCCAGTCCCCTCTCCCTTTAATGCAGGTGTCTGAGTTTCCAACCCCCTTTTCCCTCAGATGCAGCAGTTCCAGCCCAGAGACTGTCCCAGGGGAGCTGAGACTCCCTTCTCACTGTGCTGCAAAGCTGACTGGATGATTTGGGGTACACTAGGGGTTATGGTCCCAACCCAGTCCCTCAGTCCGGCTTCCTCCTCTTGGAAGCCAAGTTTCCTCCCAGTCACTGGGGAGCGGAGGGTGGGAATCAATGTGGAAGCTTCAGGATCTCCATTTGGCTGACTCCCTCCCTCCACTCTCTAACCTCTGTTCACAGATGGGGAAACAGATCTAGGAGGGATATGGAGGTTCCCTGCCCAGGAGCCACCATCACAGTCTCCGAGCAGCTCCAGCCCACCAGGCCCTCAAATCTCAGCAGGGGCCACATGGCCTGTCCCCTTCCCTGTTTTTGTTTGTGTTTGTGTGTGTGTGTGTTTTGATTTTGTTGTTGTTTTTTTTGGATACAGAGTCTCACTCCTTCACCCAGGCTGAGTGCAGTAGCACGATCTCGACTCACTGCAACCTCCACCTCCTGGGTTCAAGCAATTCTCCTGCCTCAGTCACCCAAGCAGCTGGGATTATAGGCAAGTAACTACCATGCCCAGCTAATTTTTGTATTTTTAGTAGGGACGGGGTTTCCCCATGTTGGCCAGGCTGGTCTCGAACTCCTGACCTCAGGTGATCCTCCTGCCTCGGCCTCCCAAAATGCTGGGGTTATAGGCATGAGCCACCGCGCCCAGCCCTATGGCCTTCCCTGCTAAACATTCCCTAGACAGCAGGCCTGGCGTGCCTGAGACGAAAAGCCTCTCGGGGTCCCCCGGACTTAGGCTCTGGCCCCCATTGTCTCATCTCCTTCCAAGGTCTCCTTGTTGCCGGGGTGGTAGGGGGGGGACCTTCCCCAACAATGGGGCTCAGTGAGGACTCTGTGTCTCCCAGCCCCCCTTCCCCTGGTTGCTAAGGCGAAAGACTCCCTAGCAACGGGGTTTCCTGAGCCTTCGGGCCACCCAAATCCACCTTCTCAGGTATCACTTTCCTAAGGAAAGGAATTCCCTCGCAAGATCTCCCAGTTCCCCACCCCTCAGGGCACCCTGGGTGATGTGGAGACACACCCCAGACCCCCGCGCCCTCCCAGACTTCTGGTCCCCGCCGTAAGTTGCCAAGGAGGTTCTTCTAAACCTGAGACGCCCCCCCTCCCACCAGGTATCTAAAGAATCAACACCCTAGAGCAGGCATGGCCAGGCTGGTGTGAAGCCCCCCCACCCCCCTTCATTCCCGTTGCCGCGGGGACTCCCTAGCAACAGAACTCAGAATCCTGGGGCCTGGCGGGCAGGCGGGCGCGGCCGGTTACTGGGGTGATGTCCCGTAAGGCCTCTTCCCACAGCGGCCCCAGGGGTCTGGGGAGGCGACATGTTGGGCTCTGGGATCCCAGCGCTGGGCCTGCTTCTGCTCCTGCAGGGCTCGGCAGGTGAGGGGCTGGTGAGGCCGGGGAGCTGAGGAGGGGCGCCCGGACCTGCACAGCCCTAACACTGCCCTTTCTCTCGCAGACGGAAATGGAATCCAGGGATTCTTCTATCCATGGAGTGAGCAGCGGCTGAAATACTGGGTCGCCCGGAGAGGGGAGCCCAGATCAGAGCCCTGAATCTGAGGGAGGAGGGGCTGGGGGCCTGGACTCCTGGGTCTGAGGGAGGAGGGGCTGGGCCTGAACTCCTGGGTCTGAGGGAGGAGGGACTGGGGGCCTGGACTCCTGGGTCTGAGGGAGGAGGGACTGGGTCTGGACTCCTGGGTCTGAGGGAGGGATGGGCTGGACTCCTGGAGGGAGGACGGGCCTGGACTCTGGGTCTGAGGGAGGAGGGACTGGGCTGGACTCCTGGTCTGAGGGAGGAGGGTGGGCTGGACTCCTGGGTCTGAGGGGGAGGGGGGGCTGGACTCCTGGGTCTGAGGGAGGAGGGTGGGTCTGGACTGGGTCTGAGGGAGGAGGGGCTGGGTCTGGACTCCTGGGTCTGAGGGGGAGGGACTGGGGGCCTGGACTCCTGGGTCTGAGGGAGGAGGGACTGGGGGCCTGGATCCTGGTCTGAGGGGAGGGTGGGGCCTGGACTGGGCAGGGAGGGGCTGGGGGCCTGGACTCCTGGGTCTGAGGGAGGAGGGGCTGGGGGTCTGGATTCCTGGGTCTGAGGGAGGAGGGGCTGGGGGCCTGGACTCCTGGGTCTGAGGAGGAGGGGTGACCTGGACCCTGGTCTGAGGGAGGAGGGTGGGGATCTGGACTCCTGGGTCTGGGGAGGGCTGGCCGGACCTGGGTCTGAAGGAGAGGACTGGGGGACTGGGTCTGAGGGGAGGCTGGGGGCCTGGACTCCTGGGTCTGAGGGAGGAGGGACTGGGGCTGGACTCCTGGGTCTGAGGGAGGGGGGTTGGGGGGGCGGGTCTGAGGGAGGGGGCTGGGGGCCTGGACTCCTGGGTCTGAGGGAGGAGGGGGGGGGTGGCTGGGTCTGAGGGGGAGGGATGGGGTCGGACCTGGGTTGAGGGAGGGGGTGGGGCTGGACTCCCGGGTCTGAGGGAGGAGGGCTGGATCTGGACTCCTGGGTCTGAGGGGGAGGGGTTGGGGGCTGGTCCGGTCTGAGGGAGGAGGGCCTGGGGGCCTGGACTCCTGGGTCTGAGGGAGGAGGGCGGGGGTCTGGACTCCTGGGTCTGAGGGAGGAGGGGTCCTGAGGTGAGGGAGGAGGGGTGGGGGCCTGGACTCCTGGGTCTGAGGAGAGGGCTGGGGTCTGGACTCCTGGGTCTGAGGGAGGAGGGACTGGGGCTGGATCCTGGTCTGAGGGAGGAGGGGCTGGGCCTGGACTCCCGGGTCTGAGGGAGGAGGGGCTGGAGGCCTGGACTCCTGGGTCTGAGGGAGGAGGGGCTGGGGGTCTGGACTCCTGGGTCTGAGGGAGGAGGGGCTGGGGGCCTGGACCCCTGGGTCTGAAGGAGGAGGAGCTGGTGATGAAGCCACTGGCGGTTGGTCCCCAGGCTGTGAGGGTGACATATGGGACCGGGAGAGCTGCGGGGGCCAGGCGGCCATCGAGAGCCCCAACCTCTGCCTGCGCCTCCGGTGCTGCTACCGTGATGGGGTCTGCTACCACCAGCGCCCAGACGGTGAGGGCTCCTGGTCCCAGGTCCTCGGGGCGTGGGTGTGGTGGCCGGGAGCCCCGAGTCTGAACCCTGCCTCCCTTGTCCAGAAAACATGCGGAGGAAGCACATGTGGGCGCTGGGCTGGGCGTGCGGCGGCCTCCTCCTCCTGAGCTGCAGCATCTGCTTGTTCTGGCGAGTGGGCCTGGGATGGGGCGGGCGCCTGCACCCCCAAGGGGAGGGTCCGGCCGCGGGCAGGGGCTGAGCCGTCCGCTCCCTGCAGGTGGGCCAAGCGCCGGGACGTGCTGCACATGCCTGGTTTCCTGGCGGGTCAGTGCGACTTGTCCAAGTCAGTCTCGCTGCTCTCCAAGCACCGAGGGACCAAGAAGACGCCGTCTGCGGGCAGCGCGCCGGTCGCCCTGTCCAAAGAGTCCAAGGATGCGGAAGGGGCCACCGAGGGGGAAGGGACAGAAGAGGGTGAGGAGACAGAGGGCGAGGAAGACGAGGATTAGGGGCGTCCCCGGGGGACTGCTCAATACAGATATGGTGGACGGATACGTGTTCTCGTCTCTGAGAGCTGTGGGGAGCAGGGGGCATGGCGCATACAGAGGCGAGGGTAACAGGTGGGGGCTGGAGGGGGTTTGGGGATGGAAGCTCAGGGGGCCCCAGGCTGTGGCCATGGGGGTGTGAGCTGAGGGGGACCCTGGAATGAGAGAGATCTGGGAGGTAAGTGGGGAGCTTCTGAGCTGAGGGGGATCTGTGCTCATGGGGGTGTCCTGGGCTGTGATCATGGGAGCCGTGGACTGAGCGGGTAGAGGTGTACGAGTGCTGGAGTGCGGGTCTGAAACGAGGGAGTTGGGGATATGTGGGGGTGGCGGGGTCTGAGGGGTGCCTGGACTGGGCGGGGGCAGGAGCATGCCACAGCCATGGAAACGTGCCCCTCAGTCTCCTCCATGGAGTGCCAGTGACTGACAGTACCCCCCCGCCGCCACCCCAGATACACCTAGATTACCATGGGCTGCTCCCCACCAGTAACAGCACGGCGAGGCAAGGGGTGGGGGTTCCGGGCACAGGCGCCTCCTCAAAGGGCAAGGGCCTCTCTCATGGACGATGACTTCAGCTCCCAACTCCCCAGTGGCCAGTGGCAATTTTCCTGGAGGTTCGCTGCAGTCTAACACTCGTCCTACCCGTCCCTCCCTCCCTCTCCCTGCACCAAGCTACCCTTCAAAAGTGTTTCCCCAATAAATATCTTGCAAGTCCAATTTGTCTCCGTGTCTGCTTCTCAGAGAACCCAAACTCATACAGCCGTGTCGGGGTAGAGTGGAGGGGTCTGGGCTGAGATCCTTATCCCCCGGGGCCCCTCCCTGGTCCCCTCTGAGAAGGGGCCAGTATAAGGCTGGGCTCCTATATCCCCAGGGCTCCCGGTCTCCCCAGGGCAGGGGCAGCCTCACCTCAGGTGTGGCCAGGCCCACCTGGGTGCTAGAAGGAAGCAAGCCATCTTGTCTCCGTTCCCACCCCAGCAGGGTCCCTCTCCCAGACAAACATGCAGCGCTGAGGCAAATCTGCTTTTTATCCAAGTGAGGAGGGAGGGGGGACAGGGAGCGTCCTGCTGGCCACGGATGTAGAGGCAGCTGCACACTGCAGTCCGGTCCTGACAGCTGGAGCCGAGGGGTTGTCTGCAGGAGGGAGGGTGGAGTGAGTGACGGCTCAGGAACCCCCCGCATCCCTGTGTTCCGGGCTCTCTGCCTGGGGGGCAGAGGCAGGGAGCCCTGTCCACCCACCCTTGCCCCTCACGTGGACCCACACACCTGTTCCTTCGTCCCTGCATGCCCCCATTTGCTAAGTGTGTGCATGCGTGTGTGCCGTTAACGCACTGGAATCCATGGGTAGCAGACCGGGAATGCAAGCCAGGGAGAGGCAGAAACGGGGAGATGCAAAAGAGAGAGGAAGACGCAGACATGCAGAAGGGGAGAGACAGAAGCACAGGGACAAAGAGACCTGGGAGACAGAGACACAGAGACAGAGAGAGAGAGAGGGAGACAGGCAGACACAGAGAAGACAGAGGCAGAGGGAGGCCAGGCATGGTGGCCCTCATCTCAGACCCTCACCCCAGCATTCTGGCTGCAGGCCGGAGGATCACTTGAGCCCAGGAGTTTGACACCAGCCTGGGTAACATAGGAAGGACCCCATCTCTGGTACCTGTAGTCCCAGCTCCTTGGGAGGCTGAGGTGGGAGGATCGCTTGAGCCCAGGAGGTCGAGGCTGCAGTGAGCTGTGATTGTACCACTGCACTCCAGCCTGGACAACAGAGCGATGGGGGTGGCTCTGCCTGGCTACTCATGGTGGTCTCAGAGGCTGTGGGGGCTACCAGAGCTAGAACCTGTGGGTCCCTCTGCTCAAATTCAGATTCTCTGTCTTTCATGTGCTGGAAGCTGCTCGCTCTCCCCAGTAAGCAAGAGTTTTGGTTTTCAATAGGCCCATTTTCCTTGTAAGTGGGGCCTACGTTCGAGTCAGTGTGGTCTGAGTCTTTGGTGGAGGCTCCAAGAGTGGAGGCCTGTGCAGCTGTGCTAGATGTTTAAGCTACGTAAAGGATTTTCGTTTCTTTTTTTTTGAGATGGAGTCTCACTCCGTTGCCCAAGCTGGAGTGCAGTGGCACGATCTTGGTTCACTGCAACCTCTGCCTCCCAGGTTCAAGTGATACTCCTGCCTCAGCCTCCCTAGTAGCTGGGATTACAGGTGTCCGCCACCACGCCTGGCTAATTTTTGTATTTTTAGTAGAGATGGGGTTTCACCATGGTTGCCAGGTTGGTCTCAAACTTCTGACCTCAGGTGATCCACCTGCCTCGACCTCCTAAAGTGCTGGAATTACAGGTGTGAGCCACCATGCCCGACCTCATAAGGGATTTTCTTTTCTTTCTTTTTTTTTTTTTTTGAGATGGGGTCTCACTCTGCTGCTCAGGCTGGAGTGCAGTGGCTTGATCTTGGCTCCCTGCAGCCTCTGCCTCCCAGGTTCAAGCAATTCTCCCACCTCGGCCTCCCTAAGTGCTAGGATTACAGGCATGAGCCACTGTGCTCAGCCAGGATTTCCAAAGGTAACAGTAACTACAGGTGCTTATTTTCACATTTTATGCCAAGCTTCATGTTAGCTTATGCTTCACCCGTGCAAACAGATGTTCATGCTTTCTTACACCAGTTCTTCCACTGAACCACAACATGTAGCGTATGATTGGGGTGACTACTTCTTCAAATCTCACAAAGAATAATATACAACTGGAAGCATTCTGGATGCATAGGAGAAAAGTTAATTCTAGCTGGGTGTGGTGGTTCATGCCTGTAATCCCAGCACTTTGGGTGGCTGAAGTTGGCGGATCACCTGAGGTTGGGAGTTCGAGACCAGCCTGATCAACATGGAGAAACCCCATCTCTACTAAAAATACAAAATTAGCCGAGTGTGGTGGCGCATGCCTGTAATCCCAGCTACTTGGGAGGCTGAGGCAAGAGAATTGCTTGAACTCGGGAGGCAGAGGTTGCAGTGAGCCGAGATTGTGCCATTGCACTCCAGCCTAGGCAACAGAGTAAAACTCCGTCTCAAAAAAAAAAGTTAATTATTTACCTACATAAAATGTCCTAAGATAGAAGAGTTTAATTCTTTTACCAAACCCCTATTTGAGAGATGGATTCAGTCACCCATCCATCCATGTGCCAATAAATGCATTCATCCACTCATCTGTGTACCAAACATCTGTCCAACCACCCATTCATCATCATCTACCTATCTATCCAGAGAGCACGCACAAGCTAGGCGAACCCCGACTGTCCTACGGAGAGTCCTATGAACCAGCTGACGCCCCTGCCCCAAGAAGTTCCCAAGTGTAACCACAAGTTAAGGTGCCCCGGGGAAGTGACACAGGCACCCTCATTCCTTTTGTTCAGTAGGAGTCTCTGAGACCTCCCCAGTACCATGCTGCATGGGTGAGGCCGAGGACACAGAGAAATATCAGGAAAGGCTCTTGTCCCTTTATCAGGCAAGGCTCCCTCCCCAACCATATCCATTCATGGTCCATTCACCAATCCACCACCTAACCACATCTACCCATTAAACAACCCATCCAGTCATCGATCCAACCACAGCTCAGCATCAACCAACCCATGCATTCACCCATCCACCGCCCACCCATCTATCCATTCACCCATCCATCCACTCACCCATCTATCCATTCACCCATCCATCCATCAAACAACTCATCCATCCACCCATCCACCCATCTATCCATTCACCCATCCATCCACCCACCCATCTATCCGTTCACCCATCCATCCATCAACCAACTCATCCATCCATCCATCCACCCGTCCATCCACCCATCCAGCCATCCAGCCATCCATTCTTCCATCCATGTATCCATCCTTCCACCTCCTTACCCAACCATCAACCTTTCCTGATTTCACACTTTTTGCTGGGTAACGTTAGGACCAAGGACACTAGGGACCTAGGTCTTACCCTCAAGGCACTCCCTGTCAGGTGGGAGAGACAGTAACAACGTAGACACAGCACATGGTCATACAAGCAGCAAGAGAGGTCGCTCAGACAATATGAAGACCCAGAGAAGGCCAGAGAAATTGAGTTAAATCTTAAACATGTGAGAAGTTTTCTGGGCGGTGTGGAGACAGCCAAGGGCACTCCTGGTATAGAGAAGAGCAGGAACAGGGACCAACTGGCCATCTGTGGACTGAGAGACATCATTAGTGCAGAGAGGCAGGAGAAACAGGGCCAAAATATGGGGGGGTCCACAGGCCAGTGAGTGCTTCGGTTTAACTGAAAGTGAAGAGGGAGCCACAGTAGGTCTTTGAGCAGAGGCAGCTAGCTGGAAAGGTGTGATTAGGAAAGAGATAGAAGGTAGAGGGGAAAGGGGAGTGAAAGTGTTGTGGCTTCCCTTCTCCTGCCTCAGTTGGTCCTTCTTACTCCTCCTTTCCTAGGACTACAGGTCAGGAGAATCCCAGCTCCTCCACCTACGTGTTGTGCGGCCTTGGGCAAAATTGGCGCCTTTCTTTCTTTTTTTTTTTTTTTTTTTTTTGAGATGGAGTCTCGCTCTGTCGCCCAGGCTGGAGTGCGGTGGCGCTATCTCAGCTCACTGCAAGCTCTGCCTCCTGGGTTCACGCCATTCACACGCCCGGCCAGTTTTTTTTGTATTTTTAGTAGAGATAGGGTTTCACCAGGATAGTCTTGATCTCCTGACCTCGTGATCCGCCGGCCTCGGCCTCCCAAAGTGCTGGGATTACAGGCGTGAGCCACCGCGCCCGGCAAAAGTGGCGCCTTTCTGAGCTTCAGTTTCCTCCACTGTAGAATGGGGATGGTAATAGTAGTGACCTCGGAGACTCAGTTACATCGAGAGGATTAAATGGGGCCTGGGCTGGGCTCGGTGGCTCAGGTCTGTAATCCCAGCACTTTGGGAGGCTGAGGAGAACAGATCGCATGAGTTCAGGAGTTCGAGACCAGCCTGGCCCACATGGTAAAACCCTGTCTCTTCTAAAAATACAAAAATTAGGCCGGCAAGGTGGTGCACGCCTGTACTCCCAGCTATTTGAGAGGCTGAGGTGGGAGGATTGCTTGAGGCTAGGAGGTCGAGGCTGCCGTGAGATGAGATCACACCACTGCACTCCAGCCTGGGTGACAGTGAGAGATCCTGTCTCAAAACAACCCCAAACGACAACAACAAAACAAAACAAAACAAAACAAAAAAATGGGGCCTGGTGCACCTGGAGGCTGGGGCAAGTGTGGCTCTCCCCGGGCGGGGGGCCTGTGTGACACGGCCCCCACACTTCCCATCTCCAGCGGCAGGGTCTCACAGCCTTCCCCACGTCTGCACCGGTGCCTGCTGTCTCTGCGGTTCTCCGCCAGAGTCTGCCCGTCCCGGTCTCCACCCCTCCCTGGGACTCTACTTCCCCATGGCCGCTCTGTGTCTCCATCTGTCCATCGCTCCCCCGTCTGTCTCCATTCCCGTCCCTCCCTCGGTCCCTCCGTCTCCCCGCACTGCCCCGCCCGCCCCTCACCTGGGCCTCACTCGCTGCCCGCGCCCGCCGCCCCGGGCCCGGCCTCGAGCGTGGCGAGCTGCAGGCGCACGCGGCGGGAGCCTGCGGGCGGCGGGGGCGCGCGGGCGGCTCGGCGCGCTCTCCGGGAGCCGGGCGCGGGGCGCTGGCCCGCGGCGGCGGGCGCCGACCAGCGGCGGGAGAGCTTGCGCGCCAGGCGGGCGAGCGCCGAGGGCCGCAGGCCGTAGTCGCGCTCCAGCTCCTGGCGCGAGATCTCGATGTTGCCGGTGTACCAGAGGATCCAGCCCAGCAGGCTCAGGAACACCAGCAGCGCGCCCGAGTAGATGAGCAGGTCCCCGAAGTCGCGGCCGCGCACCTGCAGCTGCGCGAACACGCCAGTCAACAGCGCCGCCATGCCTGCCACGTCCAGCGCCACGGCCAGCAGCAGCGCCATCCGGCAGCGGCCCAGGCCAGCCGCGGGTGCGGGCGCGACGGCCGGCGCGGACGGTGCACCCGGTGGGGTCCTCTGCGAGGCGCACACCGCTGGCACCGCCGCCATGGCCTTGCACCGCCGCCGCTGGCGTCCAGAGAGAGCGTTCCGGGGTGCGGCCCGGCCCGGGGCGGGGTCAGGGGACGGCGCCAGGTGTGCCAAGCTCCCGCCTGGTCACCTGAGCCCGGCTGGGCGCAAACCGACCCCAGCCGTGGTTTCCGTGCAGGGGCTATTATTGCTCAGAGGCCTGCGCCGGTGGTAGCCAGGCGCACAGCCACGGGTGCCTCAGGGGCCGTGCCACCCAGGGAGGTCACACATGGCCAAAAATCAGGGCATTTCAGTGGTGGCAGCGTGGGACACTCGGAGCCGGGCGTGGCGTTGTTTCTGCTCAGTGTCCGCCTCCCGAAGCCAGTGCAGATTAGACAGTGCAGATCAGACAAGGCCCTTAGACGCCAAGGAGCTCTGGGACGCGAGAACCAGCAGTCGGGATGGTCTAAGAGGGGGAATCTCGGGGCTCAGCGGAAGCTGAGTTTCCTTTACTCAGAGCGTGTCTTCTGGAGTCTCCTGTGTGCCCAGCGAATGAAAGCCAAGGGAACAAAGCCGGACGAGACCCATCAGGTCCAGAGCGCACCCGTGGAGGAGGCTGGGCGAACCCCGACTGTCCTATGGATAGTCCTATGGACCAGACGAGGCCCCTGCCCCAAGGAGTTCCCAGCTGTAACCACAAATTAAGGAGCCCTGGGGAGGTGACACAGGCACCCTCGTTACTTTTGTTCAGCAGGAGTCTCTGAGGCCTCCCCAGCACCATACCGCGTGGGTGAGGTCGAGGACACAGAGAGATATCAGGCAAGGCTCCTGCCCCTTTAGGGTGGCCCTGACAACGGATCATAACCTCCCAGGGAGCTGATGGGGCGTGACAGGCACACTGCAGGCTGGAGGCACAGGTGGAGGGCAGAGAAGAGGACTGGCAAATCTACAGAATCCTAAGGGGAGCCAACAGCAGCCACATGCAAATCTCCCTCCCTCCAAACAACTCTCCCGTAGAGGGCATCCGTGCTCCCATGGGGTGGCAGTCTACGAGAAGTTTCCGTGTAGGTTCTCCCCAGGCTTAAACAGTTCAAAAGTTTTATTTCAAGAAAACTCTGGGGAGGGCGAACTGCAAGGGGGCTGCCGAGATTAGCCGAGGGATCCCGAATGAAGACGGAATGTTTCCGAACAGACACACCTCTCCGAAGAGCGTTTCCGGAGGGTTCCGAAAATGCCCGAGCGGGCCTCGGCGCCTTCATTGGCCATGACCGCGAGGGCTTACGAAGACCGGAAATATCCAAAGGTGCCGGGGCTAGGCTTAAATAGTTCACGCATTCACCAGTTCGTTCATAAAACAAACGTTCGTTGAGCGCCCATCATATGCCAATCACAGTGACAAGCGCTGGGTGAGCAATACCGGAGAGACAACGATGAGGCGTGGGTACCAGGACCTCTCGAATTGGAGCCACTCAGAAATCCAGCGGTGGAGTTCCGAAAACTTCCGAACAGTCCTCGGAACACGCTCTCGGCTCTCTAACCGAAGAGTTCCGAATATTCCCGAGCGTTGAGCGATTGGTAGGCGGAAGTAGCCGAATATCATCGAGCCGCCTCGGAGGTGGGGACCGACAACTCCCGTTGCGCCCGCCCAGAGAGGAAGCGGAAATGCGTGTACGGTATTAAAGGTGTCATCCCGCCCCCTCCCAACTTCTTTCCGTCTCAGGTCGCCGCTGCGAGACGAGGTGAGGGTCCGTCTTCTTGGTGTGGCCGCCATCTCGCGCCCGCCGCCCGCACCCTCGCAGCCCTGTGCCTGCCTTCTCCCCTTGCGCCTCAAGGGTCCTTGGCGGACCCCAGCCCCACCCCCTGAAGTCGTTGTGAATTCTCAAGTTCTTTTCCCCTCACTCTCCCGGAAGTTAGTCTCGGCTGCCTGAGTGCGGTCCCGCCGCCTTAGGTCACTTAGTCCCGCCCGACGGAGTTCTAGGTCGCTGTCTGCCCTCAGGGGTCTCCCATTCACCCACGTTCCCAGTCGCCGACTTCCTCTGCTGTCCTAGCGGGGCCCCCGGCCCAACGCCGGTTTAGTTCTCAGGGTCTGACGCTTTCCACGTGCCCGTTTCCCCGCAGCCGCCGCCATGTCTGCGCATCTGCAATGGATGGTCGTGCGGAACTGCTCCAGTTTCCTGATCAAGAGGAATAAGCAGACCTACAGTACTGTAAGTGGGGCCCGGATGCGTGGCTCCTGCGGGAGGAGGGTCCTGGGTCCCTGTCTCTGGGTCAGCGGGCGGGACCTTCGCATGTCTCCGGGTCCCATCTTCACGATTCCTTGTGCCGCCTCCTTCCCAGGAGCCCAATAACTTGAAGGCCCGCAATTCCTTCCGCTACAACGGGCTGATTCACCGCAAGACCGTGGGCGTGGAGCCGGCAGCCGACGGCAAAGGCGTCGTGGTGGTCATTAAGCGGAGATCCGGTGAGTTTTGTCTGGTTTGGGCCAGAGAGCGGCCCGTTTCCCGGGGCAGGGAGCTGTGATTTTTTAACTGTCAGGCAGGAGGAGTGATAACTGCCATTGCGGCGGCATCCCTGGCGCCAGGGTGTTGGTCTGGGAACCGGTTTCTCTCTCGGCCGACTCTGTGAGCCGCGCGCGTCTGAGCCTGTGTCCTCACCTGTAAAGTGGAGAAACAAAAAAGGACCTGAACTTCCCCGGTGGTGGTTGAGAGTGAAGGCACGGGGTTGATGTTTTCAGACGAAATCCTCAAAGCGAGTCAGGGTGGCGATGGATGGCTTCATCCCACAGGTGGGAAAATTGAGGCACAATAGGGGAGGGGCCCTCGCTGCCACACTTAGAAGGGGACAGGCTGGGTTGGTCGCAGCCATTTGACCCCCATTCCGCCTGTGTAGGTTAGAGAAGAGGTTTTGAGGACCCCACTCCATACGTTCTGCTGTCAGGTGCAGGCCGTTTTGAGGGATTCCCTGAGTGTTCATGGGAGTCGGGGGCGACTGACGAGGAGTCCAGCTTCACATGTGTTCTTGCCAGGACTGTGTTTTCTTTTTTTAGAGTGAGTTTTTCTCAGGTCCTTGACTGGAACTGCTTCAGAGCCAGGGGTCCATTGATTCAATGGCAGCAGCAAACGCAGTCTTGGCTAGTGATCCTCCTGCCTGAGGGACACGTAGTCCAGGGAGCAGGCAATTGCTTGGCACCTGGGGACCCCGTTTTGGGGTGTCCTGAAAGCTTTCCCCTCTTGGATTGCCGAATACATGGGTGGCCTTTCCTAGACGAAGGGACTGGATTGAGTGAGGCTGGGCCCCTCAGCCAAGCTGATGTTTAACCACTGCTGTGGGGATGGGCCTGGGGTTCCTGGGAAGTTGTTCGTACCCATTGCCAGGAGCGTGGGCTCTGGCTAGACCTGGATCAGATCCTAACAAGCAGCAGCTTCCTGGCATGAGAAAGGAGTGTTTTTGTGGTGGACAGAATTGGGCTATGAGTATGACAAGCTGTGTCCTCAGTACTCTGTGATGAGTGAGCCTCTGTTAAATGGACAGGTGGGGAAACAGCTACCTGCTGGCCTGCCCGGGCGCCTGCCATGGGCCCGGGGTGCTCAGCTTCTCAGTGTGAGACTGTCCGCACCTGCGTGTTGTGCTAAAGGTGCAGGTTAGGTGGACTGACCCCAGGACCTCCCTGACCCCCAACCAGGCCAGCGGAAGCCTGCCACCTCCTATGTGCGGACCACCATCAACAAGAATGCTCGCGCCACGCTCAGCAGCATCAGACACATGATCCGCAAGAACAAGTACCGCCCCGACCTGCGCATGGTGAGCTGGGGTTTGGGGGTCAGGCGGGGGGGTGGCCCGTGCTATGGGGAAGGGCCTCCCACTACTGGTTGCATATGGGCTGGAGAGGGATGGATTCTTGCTTTCAACCTACTCCCCACCCCCGGCATGTCCTAGGGGACAGCTTGTGGAGTGTGTGAGCTGAGCCTTGCTCTGCCCCCGCCCCAACCCCCTCCAGGCAGCCATCCGCAGGGCCAGCGCCATCCTGCGCAGCCAGAAGCCTGTGATGGTGAAGAGGAAGCGGACCCGCCCCACCAAGAGCTCCTGAGCCCCCTGCCCCCAAAGCAATAAAGAGTCAGCTGGCTTTCTCACCTGCCTGGACTGGGCGTCCCTTTGTGACGCGCTCTGGGGAGCTTTGGCCCTGTGTGTTGTCATTCAGGCCATGTCATCAAAACTCTGCATGTCACCTTGTCCATCTGGAGGTGACAGCTGGCCATGGAGGAGAGGTGGGGTAGCTGCCTTGGCTCTGGTTGGGGCAAGGGTCATTGTCTTCATGGAAAAAGCTTGCTGACTTGTTACCGAGACCTACTGTCCCATTGTGAGGTGGCCTGAAGAATCCCAGCTGGGGCAGTGGCTTCCATTGAGAAGAAGAAAGGCGTTTTCTAACCCAGAAGGGTGCGGGCTGAGGGCTGGGCCCTGGTGCTGCAGCAGGGTTTGGGGCCTTGGGGTGTTCCCAAGACCTGGGGGACGACAGGCAGCACCTGAGGAAGGTGACTCACATGCAGAGAGTGGGCACAGCCACGTGTGGAGGGGATGAGCTTTGGTTGATGCAGCCTCGTCTCTGAGATGGGCAGCTTGCTGGGTAGTCACTCATACCCGTAAGGGAGGTGGCAACCCCAGGGTACAGCCAGTGGATGTTGAACAGCCTTAGCATCGTCCCCCTGCTCCAGCCCTCCAGCTGTCCCCATCCCTCCCCAGTCTCTCTGAGCTGGCTCTTGTCTCAGGTATCAGCTCAGTGGCCACTCCTGGGCCGCCCTGTCACCCAAGCTCTCCTGATTGCCCAGTCCTCCTGTTTCCTTTGGCCTGTTTGCTCCCTACCATTTATGACAGGTTGTGAGGCCAGGAGTTTGAGACCATCCTAGGCAACATAGTGAGACACAGTCTGTAAAATAAAACTATCTGGGTGCGCTGGTGTGCTCCCTGTGGTCCCAGCTCCTCAGAGGTTGAGTAGAGGCTGAGGTGGGCGCGGCACTTGAGCCAAGAGTTTGAGGCTGCAGTGAGCCCATGAGCCCACCACTGCAGTCCAGTCTGGAAGACAGCGTGACACTCGAGAGAGAGGCTTGGATGGGGAAAGAGTCATGCTAGGCACCTGTAAACCACTGCCAGGGACCGAGGATCCAGCATCCAGGACACCCCTGGTTCTGGCCATCGTGGGGTACCCGATTCAGAGAAGGACTCTACTCCGTGTCTGAGACTACCCATGGCCTTGTGACTGAGAGTAAAGGGACTGTCGGCCTTGACTTGCCATTG